CTAGTTTGAAGGTGGTTATGATAAGCGTGGTTAAAGATGAGGTGAAAGAAACTTTATAATCGTGAGTAAAATATTCCAATTTTAAATCGACGGAAATTATGAAGTAATCGCATCCCAGACGTTGAATCATTGAGATGGATGATGAGGTGGGATGGTGGAGTAAGATATGACTGAAACTGGCTAAAGAGAAAAAGGAAATTATTGATCCCAGAAGATTTGAAAGCGGGACACAGCGAAGGCACGTAGGAGATTGAGAAGAGGTGGTGTTTGGAGGAGTGTCGATAACAGAATAGGGTAAAAGGGAAAACAATGAGAAGGAAAAAAATAGCAGTCATGTGCACGCAAAAGATAATATGGAGGAAAGTCTGGAGACGGGATATTTAATGATACCATCAGACGCTTTTGCGAAGAGTATTTTTCTCAATAATTTCTTGCTCACGATCCATGACCCAATTATCTTCTAAGTATTGGATCGTTTTTTAAATATCCTTATACACCTAGAATGAGAATATTTGTAATTATTAGGTAATTGTAACAGCGCTTTTGAACGGAAACGTTTCCCGAAAGGTATAAAATGTAATTAGAAAAATAATTTTCCTTGAAGGATTCAGCCACGATGAGGCGATGACGACGTGGCTGGAGCAAAGGTGGCGACTGAAATGATAAGAGTATTCAGTGAAATAGGTGTCAATATGGGCGATTGTTACGGTAGTGACAGCAGGGAGTGGTGAGGACAGCAGGAATCAGTAAGGACTGTTGGGAGCTCAGGGGATCGCAGGATGCCGTGTGAACAGCAGGGAAGGTTGGGGACAGCAGGGAGCGGTGGCCACAGCAAGAAGCCGTAGGGACTGTTGAAAGTCCTGGGGACCGCAGGGTGCCTTGAGGACAGCGGGGAGCGGTGGGAACTGCAGGGAGTGGGGGGGACAGCAGAAAGCAGTAGGGAGTGTTGGGAGTCCTGGGGACCGCAGGGTGCCTTGGGGACAGCGGGGAGCCGTGGGGACGGCAAGGAGCGGTGGGGACGGCAACGGAACAGCGGAGTGCGGCGGGCGCTGGGAGTGGTAGGGAGAGCGAGGGGTGGCAGTTCGACGGGGATGAAGGTGAGCGCAGAGAGACGGGGACCGTGTGGGGGGGCGAGGCGGGCGGAGCCCTGCTGGGCAGTGAAGCGCGGCGGAGGCATCGAGGTGTGGCTGGCCAACGGCGAGTGCGGGGAGCGGCGGGGACGATGGCGTAGGCGGTTGCGGGGGTCGCAGCGGGGCTGGGGCGGGAGCGCTCATTACATAGGCCCGGCGATAAATAATTGGCGAGACGGTGCCGCAGGCCAAGACGGAAACCTGCACCGCCACCGCCGTCACTTCTGGTCCTCCTCCGCCACTGCGGGCGCCTGCCACCAGAGAGGAGCACCATCTCCGCCTTTACGTAAGACTTGGCGCTCTACTCTTATAAACAATTACACTGCCGTTTGTATTCACCCTATACAACACTGTAGCGTTACTACTGTTTCTTTTTCTGCCAGTGATACTATCACAACTTATTACTGAATGATTGTAATATCATAAAATTCGCTGTTACCCCAGAATATTCCCGTCTATCCACCTCACGTAGTCACAAAGCTACTTCCTCTCTGAACACTAAATATAGCATTATCACTGTCAATTTCTCCACTAATACCAGCATCACCGCTATCTTCTCTAAATTCTCCGACACTTAATCAGCACGGCACAGAGAATATTATTTTCAACATTTGTCCATCCCCATTTCCACCGCGTCCTCCACCGTCACCGCCATCACCCCCCTCAGAGCCACCGCAGCCACCCCTGTAATTATCTCACTTGGCGTTCTCGCCTAGGTCTGCCGGCAGCCAGGTCGGGTGTTCGCCCGAACGGCTGCAGCCTACGGAAAACTGGATTCGGGCCTTCCCCCCCCTCTCCATCCTCCGCCTTTCCCCGCTCGCGTCCTGTTTTTATTTTCGCCCCCCCCCCTCTCCCGGCCCCTGGCCTTCCTCCGTTGCGGAGAGGTGTTTGAAAAATCGCGTGATTAGCGGGCTCATGACGAGTCGCCTGCCCTGCAACGGATTCCCTCCCGCCTCCACTGCCACCTGGTACAGCCTTCGCCAGAAGAGCGGTTCGCGAAACGCGAGGAAATCTGTATCCAACTTTACAAGCGCTGCAGCAATTTGTTTTGTTATAAATACCCTATCGTAATAATAAGGATCATGAATAAAAACTGGTAGATGTTACTACTGTGTCAAGCTTTTGTGATGAATGAAATTATTAATAGAGTCATAACTAGTGAATGAAGAAGAAAGATCAACAAAAGTCTAGTGCAACGAAAATGTTTAATATACGCGTAATGTTACTACGAAGCAAAGGGTGATGAACCAGAATGTTGTGAAGGGGAGAAAAGAGATGGGTAAGGAGTAGAGATGGGGCACATTTTATCTATTGTTTATATTTTTTATTTGTATTTTAATTTTTTTGGTTTATTTGCATTGTATTTGTTTTTTAACATTTGTATGTATTGTTACTTCTAATTTTCATATTTGTACGTAATTTTTGCGCAACTGCCATCGAGCGTACGCTCATTTGCAAAATAAATAATAAAAATGATTATTACTATTAATAATAAAAATTTGATGTTGATTTATTTAAGGTTAAAACACGATAAGTTACACAAAAAATTTTTGTAAAAATATATAACGTAAGACAATTTATTTGCGGTTTAAAGCAAGATAATTTAACTAAATTAAACAATTTCAGAATTAAACTTCGTCCAAAATTAAAAATTATTTCCTTTATTGAATAATCAATCTTTGTTTTTACATTTTTGTATTCTCATTTTGTAGCTTTCGTCTTAAAATCTTTTATCGTTGATTTTGAATATTTTCGCAGGAACGTTATTTTTCCCCGCGCGTTTGGTGAGAAGTGTTAACTTCACGGAGCTGACAGACTGATGGCAGGGCTGGTAAAAGCGCCTGTACCTTTGCGTGTAGGACTGCATGCAAGACGTGTCGCTTTGCGGTAGCCGTGAGATGTCGGCAAGGTGTAGATAACGGGTTTCGTGGGAGTGGTTCGCGGTTGGGAACAGCAGCAAGCTATTAGGAAAAAGGTCACGTCCCTTTACTACAGATGTTCTTCTTGTATCTTAAGGCAACGTTGTTCTACGCTCCACGGAGACACTAGCACATTCATCATTTGAATTCCTCTATTTAATTTACCTTAAAGGACAATATCTGAACAAAGAACCACACTGGGGTGATCATACAATTTTCAAGGAGTTGTGTTAAAGTAAGTTACGTAGAAAACGTTAGATTTTTAGATATTGAAGAGTAAAAGATGATGCAATAGCGACAACTACTTGAAAAAAATTTCATTACTTTATCAGATGCACAACATTCAAACTTTTCATTCGAAGCGAACCGGAGTCGAGTAAGCAATATCAATAAATTTGCTTTTTAATAGTATGAAATAATATGATCGTTTACACCTGCCTCTACTAGTTAATGACTCAAAATTCTTAGCAGGTGCGAAACCAGAAATTTTTAACAGGTGCGTTCGAAAGAGAAGACTAGAATGTTGTAAAATTAAAAACAGTTTTTCACCTCATTTATGTACTGCAAACATACAGAACTCTCATTGTGATAACACCATGGTCCATTGTCTGAAATTCATTATATATACATACGTATTAAAGGCAAAGTTGATATCCTCAAAATAGACGTTTATTTGAATTCTTGCCGTCTTTGAAGTCGAGGCCGTTCCAACCACAAAAATGACGAAGGCGGTAAGTTCAAGGGGCGGAGAAAACTGAAAAGAGGTGTGGTTGCGGCTGAGGGAGGCGAAAGAAGTAATGACCCCAGACAGAAAGGAGGAGGAAGGCGGGTGCTGGAATCTAACAGGCAGACGATGCTGGACGCGGGAAGACTGAGAGAAACCACGAAAAGAAACGTTGAAAAAATGTTGGAAGAGTGGCTGAAAAATAGTGTGCGTGAAAAAGGGGAAAGAATGAAATGGAACGGTGGATGATAGAGAATACGATTGGTAGGTAGGAAAAGTGAAAATAAAGAGCGGAAGAGATGAAGAGAATTGAGGGATAGTGAAAATGGACATTGCACATTTGGGGGAATGTGATGAAAAGGGATGAAGATAAATGGGAATGTGATGAAAGGGGATAAATGGGAAGAGGAAGGATAGCGTGAAAGACAGATGAGGTAGAGCAGAGATATGACTCAGTGAGATGGAAGATGTGACTTGGCGAGACAAGACGTGATACGACAAGACATGAACTGATGTGACCAGCCGTGTCACGTCACATGATGTAAATGGCGTGGACACGTCACATGGTGAACATGGTGCATAGTGTAAATGACTCACCATGATCTAAACATGTTGAGTCGGAATACATCTAGTTAGAGTTCGAACTGCAGTAGGAAGCAATCCAGGCCCGAAGCGCAAGCGAGAGAAAGAAACGTTGATTGCGGCGAAAGAAGAGGAGAGAGATGACATCGTGTAGGAGGCACCCGGCAATGACTGCGGCGGCAGGCAGGGCGCGACCCAAACCTCTAATACCCAGTTCGCGTTCCCCAAGAACGCGGTCGGGCGCCGAGGTGGCAACAAGAAAAATATACCATTTTCTGCGCAGCGCACTATTAACGCCCACGGCCATATTTCTTGGCGTTTCCAGAAAGGAAACCGCGAGTGAACATAGGGCGGGAAATTGCGATAGGCCGCCATTTCTCCGTTGTTGTTTTGATTTTTTGCCCGGCCCCGCCCCGCGATCTGTTACGCCGAACCGAACAGTTAGCTCCCTCGGTGGGAAACGGTCGGCGGGGCCGGTAGCCCGCTCAACCTGCGTTTTCTGGGTCACCCTCTAAATGGGAAATATCCACCGCGCTAGTATTCATCGGCCTCAGTGTTTACGAGCTGCGGTTTTATCTGGGGTTAGCCATTCTAGGCATTTCATCATACAAAGAAGAATGTATCATGAAAAGAGCTGAGATATTATCATCCGTGTGTGTTAAAGACGTAAAGAGGTCTTTTATGACGAGCCAAAGTTTTTGAAACTAAATTAAATTCTGGAGTAAAATCTAAAACTTGATTTCGAGGAGTAAACTAAATAAAAGCGCAATTGCAGAATGTAGTATACATTTAATCTATCGATGTATCTGAATCGTGAACCAGAATGTTTTGCCATTTTCTTTTCATATATCATTTTTGAAAGTTAATGCTATTTGACTATATTACAATCACATATAAAGCAAACAATACTGGTTATTCAAAAATAGCAATATTCTTTTATGTCTTTCCCAAATTTTGGGATGATATTCTCATATATTTATTGATAAAATAAACTAACTTACTCTTTGATGTATATTCCCGCAGAAAAAAAAAACTACTACACATACTGATTTACTCTCGAACCACGACTAGACCAACATTTTCGTGATTGCAACGAAACAATATGGTTGCTCCGGGAACCACTGGAGCATTCCAACTGCGTCGACGTTCCACGAACCCATCTTTGAAACGACGAGGTTAATTTTCACGCTCGAAAACCGCCAGGAGAAGACACTCATTGTCACGGAATCTTGAGCGCCGGCTCTGTATTTACGTTCTCTTCCCGCTTCGGAGACTGCGCTCCGCGAGGGGAAGGGAGAGATACACGAACAAAGGTGTCGATGAGGAAAGTGGACGCAGGCGGACTTTCTGGAAGTGTTGGTGGCCGGGAATGAGTAATAAGCGGAAGGGGGTTTGCAACAAAGCGAGAGAAACGGAGGCGGTTAGAAAAGGTGTGGATTTAGAAAATGGAAATGTAGCTGTAAAATCCGTGAGCAGGAGGAAATTTAGAAATTATAAACGCGTAAGTGTTAAGATATATTAAAAAGTAAAATCAAGAAATAAAACAAAATAGTTTAGAGAGCCCTCTAAAGTTTTTGAGCGTTTAATGCAAGCAATGACATGATACATTGAATACATAATTATTACAATTGAGATAATAAATATCGTTAATTGTATTCCAGGAATGGACGGTAAACTTTTAAATTTCGTATAACATAGCCAAGCTGTGGTCTTGCAGTGAATGTTATATTACGAAAGGTGGTGGTATTCGTCCTCAAAAGAACTTGAGCACCGGCACTTTCCTACATGTTGGCTTGCGGGCAGTAGTCTTCTCCAGGTATCTCCACCAGCGGGGTATTGCCCCAGCCGGGACAAGGTCTCTGTTCCTAACTGGCCTCCCGACGTATGTTGATGTGCAATGCATGTGTGTGTGTGTAAGGAGACAAAGGGACGTGGATGAAAAATGACATATCGTGGTCCGTGACGGGTTTGCTATGATACTGCCCCGGCATTCGACTTGTACTGATCATAGAAATCACAGAAAAGCTGCAAGTAAAAGCAACCACACAGCAACTGAATTCGACCTAGCGCTCTAGGCAGTGGCGAAAACACGTCACCACGGGGACCCGAACCGTCGAACCTGCCAGTCAGAGGCACTGTAGTGGCGACAGTCGCTCCCTGAGCCAACTGAAGCGGCCCGTCTGGATGTGCCTGTGGTAGCGACGGGGCGGCGTGGGCGACAGGGTCGACAGGGACGGCAGGACAGCAGGAAGGGACGACCGCTCGTTCCGGTTCACCGAGAGCGCCGAGCAGCTCGGCGTGACGAACTCCTCCACGCCGGAGACCCCGAACAATAAAATCCGAGTGGAAGCGGCTAATAAAGTGGGAACCGGTTTGGGAATGCATAAATGATCTAAATACAAAGTTATTTCATCCTTAATAAGCGGCGCAAAGCGGCGCTTGCAGTGACGGGCGGGCGCGCGCGCGGCTGAGCTTGTCTCGACACTGGCGCTACTGGAAGGTGGGGCGGCGGAGGGATGAACTAATGGAAGGGAACAGACGTTATTAGATCTAAAGGCGGTTTATTCTTGCATGTCGAACGACACAAGGTGCATGAAAACATCCCTAACGAAATTAGGCTCCAAAGTCTCAAATAATAAAATTGTCGAATAATCTATTGTGTTTTGGTTTAATAGACAAACCTAAATCACACAATGCCGTCTACGTTATTTGTACTGTATGTATAACGTCTAAAATTAAATTACACTACTAAGAGATTCAGGATTCTAATTCAGAATTGCGTAAGGTACATAATAAAGCAATAATGAAATAGTATATTTTTATTTTCTGGCGGAACTTGGAATTTAATTCGATAGCTGAAACACTACAGATATCCGACGATAACATTGCGATATTAATAGTTTTGGTAATTCGGTACCTGCACTGCAGCTGTCTTCGATTAACTTTGCAATACTTTGGAACTTGGAGTTGTATTCTTATATGCCACAACAGTAATTAAGAAATGAACAGTTTCTTAGCATTACTTGCACATTAAGGTCGAGGCCAATAAGTTTTGCAGATATTACGCTGAAAACACTAAGGGTAACTTAGAAACTTCGTAGGTGACATTTAAAGTTTGAAAAGTTAGAAACAAAAACTCAACGGAATACTGTAAAAGACACACTGTAAAAAAACAATGTATTATGTGCGAATTCAACATTTTTGAACGTTGCAAATTAGTACGGATTTAAAACTGATGCAACATTTTAATGAAATTTGCCGCATACACCTATGATTCCCAGTGCGCTGGATGAACACCGTCGTGTAAGAGGAGCCTGCGGCGGATGAAGAGGCGGCAGATAAGCCGGAAGATAAGCGACGAAGGACGGACACGCTCGCTTATTCCCGGCGACATGCACGCAGTGGATCTCGTCCACTCAGACGCCGCAAGTGACCGGCGACCCAGCGATGAAGGAGCTTCCGGCCGCTGGCAGCGCATACGTCATAGAAAGTCCATGCATGTGTTCAGTGGCGTCGAGAATTGGAAGCGCAATGATCGATGAGCCTTTGAGAAGTTAACGACTGCGCATGCCCTTAAATAGCAAATTTGCATTTCCCCCCGAACTCGCAGATTGATATTCTATCATCTATGTCTTTTGTCTTATTGTTTCACTTCATCGGAAGGAAATTTATCTTCCTTAGGAGCAATCGAAAACGTTGAAATAAAATAATAATATCTCACAATGAAAACGTTTAAAAGTGACGCTGAAACTATAAATCAAAAGAGCATATAAAACGTGATAAAAAAAAGATGCACGTGAAATGCACTATCGAAAAATTAAAAGAAAAATACAATATAATTAGAAAGAAGGAAAAATGAAAATAAAATATAAATAGGAAGAAATGAGGAAGAATGGCAAAGGAAGAAATCAGCAAAATCAAAAAGGGATGACAAATATCAAGAAGAAAAATAACCAGGGTGTTACTAACAACGACAGAAAATGAGTGAAACTTGGTGAGAACTTACCGGTCAAAATCGGTGAGACGGGATGAGTCCCTGAAGCCCTTGGCGAACGGGTTGCTGTCGATCTTCAGCTTGGTGATCTGCGAAGCACACGAAATATAAATTAATTTGCATCCTCAAGCCCCTTAATGAATCAATAGCCGCTTTCTGAAACGTGCAGATAACCATTTCTAATGATTCATAATTCTAAGCATCTTCCCAGTAATACCTCCTAAACAAATAAGGACTAATAATGACATATGAACCTTCCCGCCTGTCCAGAGACAACATTCACGAGAAAATACGCACGGACACCCTCCTTTCGCGTTCAGCTTAGACCGCCGAGTGGGGCCTTCCTCCAAAAAAAATGCCTGAGGAAGGGGACGCTCATGTTTCTTCTGCATAACGCTAATCCTCGGGCATAATTCATTAGAGGGGTCAGCGATAAGGGGCATTTCAGAGACAGTATTACGAAGAGCGGTGCAGCTTGCAGAAGGGCAGGGCATTAGGAAGACACACGACCCAACGGAAAGCCACTTTTCTGCCCAGGAACTTCTTATAGAATTAGCGGCTCATCCCATTCGGGATGCCAACACAGGCGGGAGGTGGGGGGCGGTGCGGGCGGTGC